TTAAAAAGTAAAACGGACAATTCAGCTCCGATAATCTTGATCTTCACTTACATTATGAAAGTCATGACACCAAATCACCTTCGGAAAGTTTTAAGTCACTCGTCGCACGTTAAAAAGTTATTAAAAATGAAATGGAATTTAACTCCGATGACTTTGACTTTGACATATATTGTCAAGATCATGATCTTGAGTGACCATCGGAAAGTTTTAACAGTGAACCGTTGTCCGTTAAAAAGTTATTAAAAAGTAAAATAAAAAATCCAGCTAGACCATTTAAGGCTTCGATTCTATAGTTTGTGTTATCACATGTACGGGCCTATAATATATTATATTATTTATTTACGTCGCCTAAAGAGACGTTGTTCCTTCATATGCCAATTATTGCGAAGAATATTACTAAGGCCTCTGTAGTCTAAAGGCTCAGGACGCTCGCACGGATTGCAAGAGATCCGGGTTCGACTCCCGGCCGAGGTTTTTTTCGCAATAAGAATTAATTATTTACAGATTTTAATATATTATTCATCATTATTAAGATCGTTTCGAAGATGCGAATAAGCATCAAAAATTTATTAAAATTGCTAGTCAATTTAACTCGTGATATTACTGCGGTAGTTTAGTAGAGTTAGCGTTTCAAGACCGGAAATTTTTCGGCGCGCGTTTCTGTGGGACTACATACGTAGTATATAAATTCACATAAGAATCGTACAAGCATTAAGATCCAGCTAGACCGTTTAAGGCTTCGATTCTATAGTTTGTGTTAAAATAAAAAAGTTGAGATTGTCATTTGACTAAAATCTGAAACGTAATTCATGGGCCGGGCAGACAACACCGATGTTAATAGTAATGACAATGATTATAACGTTTCTTAAAATTTTAAACAAAATTTGGAGCTTATCGCAATATCTCCACTCGTAGGACACATAGAAAAAAAATAAAGGCACTCTCATTATACAATTCGAGTACAAGTTATCGATTGAACATACATACAATTTGATCGTGACAGCCATTATTGAGATGTAATGATCGAGAACTCGGAAAATTCACCGGTCCACGTAAAAATACGGTAATGGCTTGCGCTACACTATTAAACGCTACGCGTTCTCTTAGCGCCGAAACACTGTCTCTGGATCCAAGGTGTACAGCGTGGAGGTCGCACGATTGGATTTACAATTCTTCAGGATACTTGATTAAAAATCCGACGATGCGACCTCCATGTGATATATCTTGAATAATGCTAATACCAGCGGTACTAAAATTTTGAAATATCATAACTAAGAAAGATCCTGACTAAAAAGGGTTTGTAACGTTTCGAAAATGTAAGCTACAAAAATATCTAATAAAAAATGAGGGAGTTCCATTTAAAAAATTTTAAATGTTAATCTTGACCCGACTTTAAGGACATCTTCTCAGAGTCAACTAAGATCACCAACTGTTTTCCCCCTTGAAACCATAAAAGCCATTTTGTTTGAAACATTTTTATTTTAAACTTAGAGATTTTGAAAAATTTACTGAATAAATTAAAATGATCCGTCTTGTATATACAGGGTGAGGAATTTAAAACAGGTCACCTGAATAACTCATTTGTTTTTAACAATAGAAAGAAAAGTGCCTAACAAAAGTTGCATGGTTTCAAGGGGGACGTATTTTTATCATATTGTCTTTCTTTTAGTTGGAGGCAATAAAAAGATATAAAGGTCACCTTCATTTTTTTTAAACGGAATTATATGATTTTTTTACACAATATAGTTCCTCGAATTTTTTTGCATATAAAAGTATTAAGGTAGTGATATCAAAAAACCAATTGTTTATGAAATATTTTATACTTTATTCTGTCACATGTTGGCATAAAATATTAAAAATTTTGTATACTATTAAATTTTTATAATTATACCTTAATACTTTTATGAACAGAATAATGAGATGTACCAATTAGTGAAAAGAAAACACATAGTTGCTTTAAAAAAATATGTATGCAAAATGGATAATTTTTAAATAAGCAACTATATGTTTTCTATCCACTAATTGATTCATCTGTATACTGTGCTTAAAATAAAACGTTACAAATATTTTTATCTCGGAAATACGGCATTGAAAAAAGTTGTTCAAACAAAAGTCGCAGGATTCAAGAAGGTCTATTTACTGATTTTATCAGTTTGATCTTAAGTGGCATTGCTAAGGATAGATTAAGGTCATATCGATTTTTTTAAATATAACACCTGAATTTTGTTTTCAGAATTTAATAGCTGATGTCGAGAGCTTTCCAAAACACTATAAGAAAATATTTTTTCATTAAATACTTTTTGAGTTATGATGCTCGAAAGTTACAGTACCGTCGGCATTAACATTACCCAAGGTATTCAATCGACGGCTAAAACCTCTTGAATGTTATTCAGGATCATATTCTGAATATTATTTGTCAAGATCAAAGCCATTAGAGATTATATCTCTTATTTTCATTTTTACGTAAAAATGAATTTTTAGTGCAACCTTCTGTATTGTAAACAATATTAAGAATCTTTATTTTAGATCGCATATGTGAGAACACAATCAATACCAGAAAAATGCCTATTACGGTCGAAGCTGAATCTTCATTACTTTAAATAATTTAATCTTGAATTACTAATATACACTATATATACCGGGTGTCCGAAAAGTGTGGAAACGGTCGAATATCTCGAGAAATACACATCGAATCAGAAATCTGAAAATATACGTATTCAATGTTTTCAAAAAAGCTATCTTTTGACATCTAACATGAAGTCCCACCCCCACCCGCTGTGGGTGAAAGAGAGGGTAAGTTTAAAATTTTAAATGGGAACCCCCATTTTTTATTGCAGATTTCGTTTCTTCAGAAAAAGTTACATAAATTTTACCTATTACAAACATTTTTTTGATGACAGATGGCGCTGTAATCAGCGAAATTAAAAAATGAGTCTGAAACGTTTAAAATATCTCAAGAAATACTCAACGGAGCATATTCTCACCCTGGAGGTGGATGGGCGGGTAACGTTTCGATTTTGATTTTTTCTTTTTCTGTCAAAGCCATTATCCCAATTACAACGACAGACAGAATACTGAATAAAAAAGATGGAAATTTTTAAGCAAATAGTGAGAAGAAAACGGAAGAAATATTAAACAATTAGTTAGA